CTGCAGCTGAGGCCCAGGGAGACAGGAGGTGCACCCAGGAGTCCTCTCCCTGTCCCCTCCACCAGGCTGTGCCTCCTCTGTCAGTGGCCCTGCTCTGCTAAATGCACTACTTATGGAAATAAATGGTAACTTTCATAACAGACCGATGAGGGCTGTTTACATGTTGAACCTTGAGCAGAAACTTCCAAAATGGCTCTCTTCCCCTCCCCCCCATGAAGTGCTGATCAATCATATCTCAGATACTGGGCGTTGCACTCTCTCACCCCCTCCTACATGGGCTGCCAGCAGGTTTCGCTGCAAGGATCACAGCTTCATGATGATGTGGCCCCAAACCCTACCAGAGCCTAAATGCTTTGCCAACATTGGCACATGGTCTAGAAGTGTCCCCGTGTTTCCATGATGGGGGGGAGGTAGGGAGCTGGGAGAAGGGGAGAAGGTGGGAGGGTGTGTGTAAGGCACTGCAGAGCTTGACCCCAGGGAACTCGAGGCATTCCATACAGGGAGGCACCTTTCCCTTTTCAGATGCCACCAAGACCTGAGACGTGCTCAGTCTTAGCTACTACCGTAGACACCCCAAGTATTAATTGCTCAAAACCTGAATGTTCAGATTCTCAGCTCTTAGCAAACGTGATGTGACCACTTGCAACTTCAGGTGACGTTTTATGTACTTGTTCATTTACTTATGAAAGTGTTGTTTAGTATTAACTGATTACTGCTTATTTATTATGGAGAACTTCTGTCACTCCCTCACCTCATTTCTCACTACCATTTTAGATCATGAGACCAACAGTCACACATGGCCCAGAGAACATGGTTTTCTCTGCCTTTACCTACCAGAAGGGGAACATGCTCCCCTCCTGGGCAGCTGGGTCCTCCAGGGCGCATGGGTATTGGAGGCCCCAGGCTCTGTCCTGGGTCCATTGTTGCTCTCTGGGTCCCTGCCATCTTGTCCTTGAAGCTGTAGGTTACAGCACTCAGGGCACAGGCTGCTCCATCATTCCTAACCATGCATGGACATCACCGCTGAAGCCTGCTCATGTCTGCTAGTTGTGACCTCAGACACTGCTGTTTACCAAGCAGCCACCTCTCCAGATGGTTCCATGCAGAGAAACAAAGCATTTGCCCACGGCAACCACCCAAACAGCTGGAGCAGCTGTCCAGCCTATCCTAACCTTACACTCCTTATCATACCACAGTGGATGTGGCTCTGGTAGTTCCTGGGAGTGTCCTACACTGGTATCTATTCTACCAGGATTAGAGATGTCTCTATACCCACAGAGCTGGCCCTTCCTGCAGCATGTGCCAGCATCCTTACAAATCATGACGACAGGCAGATTCGTCACATACAGCAGTATGTGTAGCATGCCAGACACCCCTCCCAGCACACTCACCCCCACCCTATGCTCCAGCTATTTGGGTGACCTGCACCTCCTTCTTAATGACAAAAGACAAGAGGACTCCTTGCATTTCAGCTTGCCCTCTGCACAACATTCCCTCCTAAGGCTAGAACGCCAGTGGCCCAGGGAATGTGAGGCCACAACAGAGAACCAACTCCCACCCTTGGCAGGTGACATTTCTGCTCAGAAGCATCTGGCCAGGGGCCGCCCTCTCTTTCCCTGCTCTGTGGATCTCGATCTCTCTCCTCTCTAACTAGGAGAGCATCACGTGCAGCCTGTGTGAAGTCCTCCTCTCCCTCTGGGGGCAGCAAGCGCCATCCCTGGACACCTGGATAACCAGGGTGCTCCCGACTCAAGTGAGGTTAGATGGTCTCCAGACTTCGGACCAGAGGGTCGCCTCTCCTAACTCTGAACCTGAACACTCATCAGAAACATGGCTCCCACCTGCCGGATTCCCACGGTTCCAGTCCTACTCATCGCCACAATCACAGCAGGGCTGGGCTCGCACTGCCCGGCCAGCGCTCCCACCACTCCCCGGGGAGTCCTTCTGGCTGCCCTTCAAGCCGGTGTTTCTGGCAAAGCCTGCCGCCTTCAGCCTTCATCACAGGGCACTGCCACCGGGTCACCTCCATGCGGGGTTGAGGGAACAAAGGAGCCAGCTCTCTGATCAGAACACCCGTCCACCCTCTCTACTCCTGGGACCATATTCAAACCCAAGGCTGCACCACCCTGAGCTGGGGGCTTTGTTAGCCCACAGGGTGTCCAGCTGACCAGGTGCTCTCAGTCTGGGGAGAAAGGACCAGCAAACATGTTCATGAAACCACCAGGGGATGCACAAAAGCCACGCTGAGCAACAGAGGCCAGACCCACCTATGCTCACACTGCATATTCCACACATGGAAGTCCAGGGACAGGCAAAAAACGAGTCTACAGGGCAGGATGGTTGCCAGGGCCAGGGTGGGCATGAGGGTCAACTGCAGAGACAGGAGGATACTGTCTGGGGCAATGCACATATTCTAGATCTTGGCAGAGTGGTAACACTGGTCTATGCATTTGCTAAAATTCCTCATTCTGGATACATAACAGGAGACATTTTATTGTATTTAAATTATACCTAATACAAGGTGATTTTTAAAAAAATACAGGTGAGTTTCCCAAGCAGTGCACAGAGGAGCAGGTCTGGCAGCCTGGCTCTCAGAGAGGGGAAGTGAGAGTGGCCAGTGTGCTCATCCCTGTGGGCACCCTTCACTGCCCCCCACTGCCTGCTGGGGGTCTCCCTGCCCCCTGCTAGCCCAGCCCACCCACAGTGTACTGTGAGGTTCCAAGACACAACCCCCTTCCAGAAAAGGATACCCCAAGCCCCACCTCAGGGCCTTTGCACTGGCTGTGCCCTCTTCCTGGAGCTCTGATGTCCTGGTCCAGACAGGACTCTAGTCCTTCAAGGACTCATAAAGACCTCCCTGACTGACCAGTGTCCAGTGGCACCATATCTCTCTGTCCGTCTTCTATTTCACTTCCAACAGAGCGTCTATAACTCCAGATCTTAATTATTACTCACTGCCTCCCATTTTCCCCCACCTTATACTCTAAAGTTGGGCTGAGCAGTACCACAGCCACCAGCAACATGTGGCCATGGGGAGCTTGAAATTGGGCCAGTCCCAACTGACACATGTGCCAAGTGTAAATGATATACATGAAATTCCAAAGATATAGTGTAGACACCCAACACTCAGAAGGAGGTAAATTATCTTTTTTCTTTTAAGTTTGATTAAGGAGGATTCATCTATATTTATTTGAGTGATTAGTGGGTAGAGAAAAATGAAGGATACAGCATATTATAGGGGTAGAAATGTTTAGGGTACATACATTGTCCTGGCCCAACCAGACTCAGAGCTTCAAGCACGTCCATCTCCAAGATGGTGCTCATCGTACTCTTTGCGTGTGTATATACCCATCTCCTCCTTCCCACCAACCTGCCCTACAGCCAGTGAATGTTACTACTATATGTGCACTTAAGTGTTGATCAGTTAAAACCAGTTTGACGGTGAGTACGTGTGGTGCTTATGTTTCCATCCTTGGGATACTTCACTTAGTTGAATTGGCTGCAGCTCTATCCAGGATAATACCAGATGAGCTAGATTGGCATTGGATTTTTGTGGATGAATAGAACTCTTTGCAATTATGAATTGTGCTGCTATAAACATTCTCAACATCACTAATCATGAGGGAAATGCAAATCAAACCCACAGTGAGATATCACTTATCTCCAGTCAGAATGGCCTTTATCAAAAAGTCCCCAAACAATAAATGTGGGCATGGATGTGGAGAGATAGGAACACTCCTACATTGCTGGTGGGACTGCAAACTAGTACAACTTCTATGGAAAGCCATATGCAGATACCTCAAAGAGATACAAGTAGAACTACCATTTGATCCAACAATCCAATGACTGGGCATCTCCCCAAAAGAAAAAAAGACCTTCTATTAAAAAGATATCTGTACTCGAATGTTTAGAGTAAATTATTTTATTAACAATTGTTCTTGGAATTTGATATAACATTATAGATATCTTACATTAAACAAAAATATTGTCTAAATTACTGTCACTTGTTTACTTTTACTTTTTTTTTTTTTGAGACAGAGTCTCGCTTTGTTGTCCAGGCTAGAGTGAGTGCCGTGGCGTCAGCCTAGCTCACAGCAACCTCACACTCCTGGGCTCAAGCGATCCTCCTGCCTCAGCCTCCCGAGTAGCTGGGACTACAGGCATGCGCCACCATGCCCGGCTAATTTTTTATATACATATCAGTTGGCCAATTAATTTATTTCTATTTATAGTAGAGACGAGGTCTCGCTCTTGCTCAGGCTGGTTTTGAACTGCTGACCTTGAGCAATCCGCCCGCCTCGGCCTCCCAGAGAGCTAGGATTACAAGCGTGAGCCACTGCGCCCGGCCTACTTTTACTTTTTGAACGTGTCTACTAGAGAATTTAAAATTGCTCCTGGCCGCGTGTCACATCTCTATTGGGCGGCAGCTCTGCAGTGTCAAGTCCATGGCTCAGTCTCTAGGCCTTAGAACTCAGGCCCAGTGAGAAGCTAGAAAAAGCTTGTTTATTGAATGATATTGAGCTTGAGAGGAGAACCAGGAGGTTAATTTCCTAATGTTTGGTAAACAAGTTCAGACCAGGATGTGGGCTGGGTTTTCCAGGATCCTCTGATGTCACACTTTGCCCTGAGGACTCCACACCTTGACCAAGTGCTCAGAGGTGACCCTGACCTGGAACAACTTCAGGAGGCCAAGATGTCTCTTTGACCCTTTTCTTGGGGAAACAGTGAAGAGGTCATGTTGCTTTTACTATCACCTCCTGGAGACTAAGTGACACTAGCTTGGGAGCACTGGGGAGGAGGGGCAGGACTGGGGGAGTGGCGGGAGTGAGGGCAGGAGCAGGAAGGAAGGGAGATGGAGGAGGAAGAAGAGAAGCCAGCCAGGTGGCGGGCGGGGTGGGGGGGCCCTAGCAGGGTAAAAGCGCTGCAGCCTGCAGGAGGGGGCTGAGGGCTCAGGATCACACCACTGGCTCCTCTGCAGCTCCAAGTTCTCACTGTGTATCTGAGCAGGCCATGGCCAGACCCCTGCGTGCCCCACTGCTCCTGCTGGCTATCCTGGCCCTGACCTGGGCCATGCCCCTGGCCAAGAACTCCAAACGGGTGGGCGGCATCAAGGAAGCAGATGTTAATAATGAAGGGGTGCAGCAGAGGCTGGACTTTGCCACCAGCAAACACAACAAGGAGAATGATGAGGACGAGGACAAACACTGGCAGGGGTGGCAGGTAAGTGAGTGTCTTCGACCAGATGCGTGCTTCCCCCTCCCCACGGGGTCATGAGTCCTGGCTGGGTTTGCCCCTCAGAGAGCATTACCAGCAAATCAGCACTGACACATTCAATTATCTCATGCTCAGGCTTATTCAGATTTCCTTGCTGTCCCACCGATGGCCTTTGTACTGAAGGACATGCCCAGGCTCTCATCATAGCCCCTGCCCTGTCTCCTCAGACTCCTCTAACCTGCAGCCGCCATCACGTTTTACCAGGGAGTCTGTTTGTTGTCCTTGACATTTTTCTAGTATGTCCAGCCACTTGTGGTATAGAGACGGCTGCTGAACCTGCTTCCCCCTCAAGGTTAGATTCGGGTCACAATGTGCACATAGAGGAGGCATGTCCTCCTCCCTGAGTGCCTCAGCAGGTGCCACCTGAGGAGCCTGGCCGCCTGGTCCTGAAGTAACACACTTCCCTCCAAATGTCACCACCTTGGGAGCAGCCCCCAGGCTGAGCGTCCTTCACCTTGAGCCCGGCAGACCACCACCCACAGCCACGGGCAGCTGAGCACCTGCTGGGGTGCAGAGGGCCACGCCCGAACCCCGCCTCTGCCAGCCGCAGCCTGGCGCACTAGACTCTGGCAGAGGGGGAGGCAGTCAGCGTGGAGAGGGGTCGGGAGGGGGCGGCAGGGAGGGCTGCTGGGCCCGAGCTTGCCCTGTGTCCATTGCACAGCTGCCCAGAGCAACAGCACAGGGTGGCTTGGCACGCCAGCGTGTAGAGCTCCTCCCACCTGCTCTCAAAATTCAGGGAGTCCAGACAGCCCCTCTTCTCCTCCTGCACCCTCAGTCACTGTCCTCTCCCTGGAACCTGAGGTGGACCCCCTGGTGCTGCCATCTCTGCTGGCCTGCGCCTCTCCAGGGTGGCTCTAATTTTGAGTGATGCACAAGACCCTGTAGATTATTGGTCCTGGGAGCCCGTTTGACAGATGGGCAGACTGATAATCAGAGGAATCACGGATCCACAGGGCAAGGTCTAGCGCCCTGATCCCAGAGCGCCTCATCCCTGCTGCTCCACAGTTCTGACAAGGCGTGCCTCGGGGAGGCCCTGTGCAGGGAAAGGCGACAGTTCTATTCTGTAATTAAAATATAAGACATGCAGGTGTGTGACGCACTTGAGAAATGTTGCCAGCAAATCCTACCTAAAACTGGGCCATTCGAGAGCAGTCTCTTATTGGCCTAATACTTCCGTGTATGTGAAGCATCTCATTTCCAACTGACAAACGAGGGAGGGAATATATAAATCTGGGGAAAATAGAGCCAGTGGGATTCTGCTGGGCTGTGCGCTGGTGGCTGCAAGTCAACTGAGACTGAATCCTGAGAAGACAGCCCTCCTAGAATGGATCATTGCTCCCTGTCCCTGGGTCACAGTTTCAGGATGTGATGAATTCTTGCTCCTACACTAATGCTTAGACCAAGCCTGTGCTCCTGGTGCAGGTACTGGTTATTGGTCCCACCCAGGCTGGCTGCCCAGACCTGTGCCTGCCATTCCTGAATTCAGTGAGGGCTTAGTCCCTGGCTGCCACTGTCTACTATCCTGCTGCATGCAACACCTTGGTGGAGTTGCTCAGAGAAAGTGAGTTGCAAGGGAACGCCTGTGGCCCAGCACCCCTGATATCCAGGCGAGGGGTGTTTCGTGCCCTGCAAGTGACAGTGTGGCAGCTCACAAATGTAGGCGTGAAGCCCTGGGTATAGGCAGTAACTCAGCAACAGCGAACTACCTGTGTGTGTGTGTGAAATTGACGGCAGTGCTGTATGTGAATCCTGCTCTTGCACATGTGTAGGTCCTGTTTAGGTTGGCGTACTCCTTGTACATGGAGATCAGCCAGACCATATGTAACAAGTCCCAGGCCAACTTGGACAACTGTCCCTTCCAGGAGCAGCCGCATCTGAAGAGGGTATGTGCCTGATATGCGTCAGGGACCACTAATGCACTGCAGAGGGGGAAGTGTGTTCCTGGGATCCTGCACATGTTCAGGAGGGTGTGTGCGTATAAATGGAGGCGTGTGTGTGCATGAGTGTTTCCAAGCACAGGGAGTGTGGGGACATGCATGCATATCCATGTGCACATGCTGGGGTGTGTGTGTGAGGTACATGGGAGTGTGGGGGTTCATGCAAAGATGCCTGTGGGTGAGGGGTGCAAGTGAGTTTACATAGATGCATTCCTGTGTGCATATGGGGAGGATGGGAGGGTGTGTGCACATGGCTAATTTAACTTGCAAAGAGGACTTTAGCTTGGGAATTGGGATACTGAGAGCACAACCCTGCCTGTTCTAGGGTGTTACCTGCAGTGCTGGAGGAATCAGCCCCAGAGCTGGGTGCTTGGGAGAGAGAGGGGCTTTGTTCAATGCCAGCCTCGGCCACCTGCCCACAGCCACGGCGGCGCTGAGCAGATTAGAGGGGATCAGAGGCCTCTAAGTGGCCCAAGCCCTCTGAGGCTGCCCCTGCTCGCCCAACACCAGCCACTCCAAGGCCCCAGCTGCTTCTTGTGAGGTCTCTGCTCTGGGGAGAGCCACACTCCCCTTGTCACCCACTCCCCATGCTCCAGCTCTTTCAGGGAACTTCCTCTCCCCAGGGTCTTCCCCCTGGGCCCTCTCAGTGCTGACCCAGGGGCTGGAGGTGGAGGGAGCTTGGGGACAGAGAGCTGCCTACCCCGCCTGTGCCCTGTGGTCTCCAGTGGCCTTGCATAGGCTGCTCCTTCCAGGGCAGTAAGGTGGTGGGTCCTGTGGCTGTGTGGGGGACACAGGGCAAGCTGGGGCTCTTGGAACCTGACGAGGGCCATGGAGCAGTGGCTGCACAGTCGGGCAGGTATCCAGGGACTCACTGGGCGTGGTGAAGGCTGGGGGTCTTGGCCCCAAGCTTCCTCGCCCCCACCCTGATATCCCATGGCTGGGCATCTACCCTGTAACTGTCACCTGCACTGATTGTCACTCTCTCTTCCCTTTCACAGGAATAGTCTGCTCTTTTGAAATCTACAATGTTCCCTGGGAGGATTAAATGACCTTAGTAAAATATTTCTGTCGGAAGGGCTAGGGGTCTGTGCCAGGCTGGCCTGCACCCACTCCCTCCTCCCCACACCTCTCACCTCCCTGTAGTGTTCCCTGCCTGGGATGGAGGCCTCAACCTGGTGCAGGTCTCCTCTCCGCACCAGCACCAGGAGGGAGGCAGGTAGACAAGGATTCGGGAGGCCTTTGTAGATCAGCCAAGTGGCTCTACTTGCTCCTTTCTCCCTACTGCTTCTCAACCTCGCTGGTACCCCACGCTCTGCTCCTGCCTCCTTTAATAAAAGAGTAGCATTGGCTCCATCTTGAGTTTTTCCTGTCTTGGGGATGTGCACGTGATGAGGGTTTTGAGACCAGCGTGGTGGCTCACCCGGTAACCCCAGTGCTTTGGGAGGCTGAGGTGGGAGGATCACTTGAGACAAACTGATTGGAGTTACAGTGATTTGTGATCCTGTCACTGCTCCCCATCCACCCAGGGTGACACAGGAAGGTCCTATCTAAAAAGAAAAGGACAAAAAAAAACGAAGGGTTTCAGCAGCCCTTTTGTGAGGGCTCCTTGTCCTGCTGGGTCCAGACAGCAAATGGGCGCCTGAGAGCTGAGAAGCCCATCAGGGGACTGAGCGGTGACTTCGGGCACATCTGAGTCTCAGAGCAGGGACAAGAGCATGAGGGCTGGAGCCCGGGTGCTCAGCTACAGCGGCTCCTGGTGAAGGGCCCGTGGAGCAGGTGCCGGCTGCTGGCCCTGTCCCTGCACTGCTGCCCTAACGGACGCCAGGCAGGGGGGAGGCCTCAGAGGGGCCGGCCAGGCAGTAGATGCCACCCACGTCTGCAGAGTCGGTCACACTCCAGGGACTGACTTTCTCTAATCGAGTTCCCTAGGGACTAATAAATAGAGATTTATGTCCACTGCATTCCACCAAATTACTTAGGTCCCTACATGAAAATAAAGACTAAAAGTGTCTGTGTGTCTCTGTGTCTGTGTAACTGGTTGGGGGAAACACCAACCAGAACTAAAGATGGGAGAAATCCTAGAGTGAAGGCCGGACCTGCCCTGGTCCATCCCGGGAGTCATGCCCTACACTGGGAGGTCATGCCCTACACTGGGAGGTCGTGCCCTACAAAGGGAGGTTGTGCCCTACACTGGGAGGTCGTGCCCTACACTGGGAGGTCGTGCCCTACAAAGGGAGGTTGTGCCCTACACTGGGAGGTCGTGCCCTACAAAGGGAGGTTGTGCCCTATGCTGGGAGTTTGTGCCCTAGCAGGTTTTACAGTTACACCCACGAGCCCTTTGGCTGGACTTTGCTTGAAAGCAAGTCCTCACATCAAGCTTCACCTTAGGGATGGAGAAGTTAAGACACAAATGGGACTGACATGCCGTGGGCTCTTCTTTTTCCAAGAAGTACACTTTAGTTCACAAAGACCACCACCTGGGAGTCAGTATAAGCCTTGGAACAGTGGATATTTACCTGCCCTGAACAGGAGGTGACAGTCCTTAGGGGCACACAGGGCCCACCCGACAGTGTCCTTCCATTGGCTGTTTCAGGACAGCGTGGTCCAGCCCTCAGGGATGGCTGGGGCAGGTTTGCAAATACCTTCCATGCTAACAGTCACAGAGACAAGGTGTCTTGCGGCCACTGCTGTGAACACTGAAGGGAAATGACAAGGGGAGTCCACCAAACAGCCCCAGGCCGGCCCCTCACGTGCTGCACCAGCAAGGCCAGCGCTGGGAAGGCCGGGGAGCGTGAGGGGAACAGGCGCTCCCACTCCGTGTCCACCTTGCATGCAGAGCCTCAGCCCTGCCTTTAGTAACAAGTCTCTGGGGGAGGGAAGAGAAGCACCGCCCAGAGGCCTGAGCAGGGGACCTCTGAGTCTGGCCGTGACCTGGCCCAGGAGTGGGGTGCAGGGGGCCTCATGGATTTAGTGATCCAAGCTTCTGTGGGTAGGAGGGGGCCCAGGCAGAGCAGCAGGTGCTCAGAAGCCCAGGGGAGGGGTCAGGGGTCAAGGCCCCTTGCAGTGAGCTGATTAAGGTTTGCCTCAGTTTGACACAAGCAACTACCATGCAGACACAGTGATTTCCTCTCACTTGTCCCTTTTCTGATAAAACTCTCTGTCTTTGGGCATGTGGGGATGGGCTGGGGGCTGTGCACAAGGCTCCCCCACCTTCTCCCTGAGTGTCTGCACCCCAGGTGGGCAGCAGTCGGGGAGCCTGAGTGTGAGCAGGTTCATCTCCTGGCCAAGCCAAGGGCACTGGCTGTGTCCTGAAGCTATGGGGGATGTGGAGTCGTGTAAGGAGGATCCTGAGGAGGTCAAGCTTTGAAAATACTATGTCCCTTTAAGAGTTCCTATACTGAAATTAAAGTCACAGATCAGTGGGAAAAGATGGAACCTGCAGAGGTTAGACACCTCCTCACTTCAGCATAGATGAATCAGTGGCGGAGGAGGGATGAGTCCATGGCAGGACGAAGAAGTCAGCCAGTGTGGTCTTTCCAGGGCGGGTGACACTCACCCAAGGACCCCAGGTGGACCCAGGTGCTGTGGGGCCTGAGGCTTATATGATTTGGGGGACTCTCTAGATGAAAACTAGTAGTATTACTGACTATTACTTCTAACAGTGTTACCAAAACAAAACTAAGCACAGAAGTTAATGTCTATTTAGGAAGAGAAAATCAATTGCAGCCAATTACATGTTTTAAAATGCTGATAAATACTGCAACCATCACAAAATCCAGAAAAATAACATTTCTTCCAGCACAATCAGGCTACCTCAACTAAGTCTATCACCAACGGACTGGGGTTCTTGCATTTGTTGCAATAACCAATACTCACACCACGGGACCTGGAGCAAGAGACCAAGAGGAAGGAGGGTCATCACAGGATTAGGAAGAGACTCTGTGCAGGATTTTGCTGGACTCACAGCACCCCAGGGCTGCGTGTAAAGGAGCTAGTTCCAGTTTGGACTGCAAAGAGGACCCGGGGGCTATGTCCTTAGAACACATAAGGTTGAGCCAGATTTGAAACCTCCTGTCCAGAATCCCCTTCTCTGAGGTTCTGCGTCTCTGTGTAAGGATGGACCTAGGTCCCCCAGGCAGTGGGGTGTTCACTTACTGATAGAAAATTTTCTGATAACCCTGATTCTAGGGAAGAACATCTTTCATTGAGTAAAAGTGATAGTTGGCAAAAGAATAGGCTAATTGATATTTCAAAGATGCAGCTTGGGAGAAACCTTGCTTTTCTGTTCATACTGGAACTGCTGTGTTCTCATTCATCTATTCCTCCCTCCTAGGGATGGAAGGGCAGGTTTTTCCTCCCCCAGTCCATGATATCTTTATTTACTCACATAAAATTTTAATTAATGAACTATTGACACAACTCTGTAATAATTTACTCCTGTATTTTCATACTTGGCTAATGAATCACTATTTGTCTCATCATAGCACACTGATATTACAAAATCATTTTGTCTAAATATAGTAGAAAAATAAATCAGTCTTTTCACTCACCACTTTCAACACTTTTGTTAAATTGATGTTGTATAACATTTTCTTTCTGCCTCAAAACTCATAATTGATCTTACCATCAAATTTTCAGATTGTCAAACTTAAAAAAGCTTCTGACAGTTTCCTTTTATATATGAGCTATAAGATTTTAGTACTTCCTGGGTTTTCTTGGCTTAAGATCAATGATCTTAAACACTCTTCAGCTGACAATGCTCACTTAGCACATCATGTATTTTTTACTCTTCCCAGCAATGTTTCATCTTGTATTGTTTAGAGCTGCCAGACTTCATTGGGACAGGAAGAGGTGACAGGACAGATCCCACAAGCCTGATTCCACAAGTAAAGAAGTTCTAGCTCATCCAATTCTCGTGAAAATAAAAATAAATGCCTGGTCTGCTAATCATTGCATAAACCATGTTAGTGAGTGTATTTCCAATAGGAGAAAACTTCCCATTTTGCCTAGGAGTCAAAAAAAAAAAAAGCCAAACACTCAACTCACAATTTTTGATGTTATGGTGGGAATAATTAATTTTCCACGGACTAGCTTCTGGCTGCATGTATTTCAAGCCTGATTCCTCTCTCCTAATCACAAAGGTCCAATGGGAGGTGCTATAGGACACATCCTGATCAAGATGCAACCTCTGTCCCTGATGCTTGGTCGATGACAGAACCTGGAGGAAAATCAAATTCCCTGACCTGAGGGTCAGAGCTCTGATGGCAATACACAGGCGCCACCCCTGCTCCCAGACATTTCCCTTTGCCTGGGCATGTTGGGAAGCCCCTGTGTGATTGCAGGAGTGCAGAAGTATGTGTGCACTGGCCCCTGCACAAGCCCAAGTGCTCTAATAAACTTGGATTTCACCACGGCCCGAATTGGACCCAGCTGACCTCAGGACTCTAATTAGCTGCACTCTAAGACATGGTGGCCCTCAGATTGTGTGGCCCCTTTGCTGCCTCTGTGTCCTTTACAGTAGAAATTTTAGCCACAGAGCCTCACATTGAGGGTTGGGACTCAGAGTTCTGGATTGAAAGTTAGTAAAATGCTGTAACCTCAGGGGTATACAGACATTTTCCGGTTTCAGCAGAAAAGTGGCTATTTGGGCTTAGGAGAAAAATAAGCTTAAGCATTGGAAACAACAAACACCTGTTGTGCATGTTACTTGGGTAAACAGGCAAGCTTTCCTAAGGCATGAGATGTAAGATGACTGTGAACTGATAGAGACTATGTTTTTTAGATTAGTTTGCCTAGAACATGTGGTCATCCATGTGCTGCTCAGTTTTACTGAAGCAAAGTGCAGTTGTGCAATAGATTGTCCAGAAGATGGGGCTGAAATCTCAGAAGATGCACAATGAGCTCCTAAACAAGGAAACCACACTAAAAACAGCAGAAAGTTGTCTGATGAAGCCCAGAGCTCCCTGAGGATGTGGTCCTGCTTCCTGAGTGTGCAGAGAGCCACATCTGCCCTTCTGTGTGGAGTCCTTGTTCAGTAAGAAAGTAGATTCCTCTGAGAATGCTGGACTGGGAGCTGGACTCCAAAGGAAGAACTCTGAGCCCAGTCTTGGAAGGACACCTGCTGGGAGCTGAGTAAGTGCAAAGGCAGGGGAACCTGACCTGAAAACAGCACCAGATGCAATCTTGTACAACTTATGTTTAAATGGACATTTTTGTAAGTGGGGTTGTATATACATTGGCACATTACAACTTTAGAGAAGCTTTGTGTCAATGTCTGTTGAAATTTGGGTTGACAGTAGCTTATAATGTAACTGCATTTTTTCTGCTCCTGTC